TTTTCCCCGCCCCGGAAAAAGCAAATTGGAGGTTTGATCCATTGGGGAAAAAGCAAGTTTGAAGTCTGAACCATGTTGTTTTTTCCCGGCCCGGAAAAAAGCAAATTGGAAGTCTAAACCATTTTGCTTTTTTCCGGCCTTGAAAAAAGCAAATTGAAAGTCTGAACAATGTTGCTTTTTCCCCGCCCGGGAAAAAGCAAATTGGAAGTCTGAACCATGTTGTTTTTTCCCGGCCTGGGAAAATGCAAATTGGAAGTCTGAACCATTTTGCTTTTTCCCGGCCCGGGAAAAAGCAAAATTGAAGTCTGAGCCTTTTGCTTTTTCCCGGCCCGGGAAAAGGCAAATTGGAAGTCAGAACCATTTAGCTTTTTCCCGGCCCGTGAAAAAGCAAATTGGAAGTCTGAGCCTTTTGCTTTTTCCAGGCCCGGGAAAAAGCAAATTGGAAGTCTGGACCATTTTGCTTTTTCCCGGCCCGGGAGAAAGCAAATTGGAAGTCTGAACCATTTTGCTTTTTCCCGGCCCGGGAAAAAGCAAATTGGAAGTCTGAGCCCTTTGCTTTTTCCAGGCCCGGGAAAAAGCAAATTGGAAGTCTGGACCATTTTGCTTTTTCCCGGGAGCCTTTTGCTTTTTCCCGGCCCGGGAAAAAGCAAATTGGAAGTCTGGACCATTTTGCCTTTTTCCCGGCTCGGGAGAAAGCAAATTGGAAGTCTGAACCATTTTGCTTTTTTCCGGCCCGGGAAAAAGCAAATTGGAAGTCTGAGCCGGGAAAGGCAAAGTGGATGAGCGGCCTGGACATCCAGTTTGCCATTGCGAAGCCTGAAAAAGCAATTTTTTCAGAGAGCCGTGGCCTAATGGACAAGGCACTGGACTTATAAGCAGAAGATTGTGGGCTCGAGCCTCGCCGGCGCTGATTGTTTCCAGGCTGGAGAAAGCAATTGGAAATCTGTGAGGCAAATTGCTTTCCAAATTGGAAGTCTGGACCATTTAGTCTGAACCATTTTGCTTTTTCCCGGCCCGGGAAAAAGCCCCGGAAAAAGCAAATTGGAAGTCTGAGCAAACTGGCCTGAGCCGTCTCTTGTTCATGGAGGGTTGCACCCAACCAAAACACACCAAAATGAAAATGGTTTGGTTGGCTGGCTTCCTGTTCCTCAGCAACCAATGTGTCAGTGATCAGAGGACGCAAGACGTGCCAGGGCAACAGCATGAATCCTTGAAAGTCTCTAGCCCCAACGAAAAACCATTTTCGCCGACAGTGTTAAAACCCCACGCGCGAAAGCTTGCGAAAGCTTCGCGAAGGTCCTGCGAAAGGCACTTCTTCACTGTGCTGGAAACTTGCAATCAGAACTGACTAAATCCTACTAAATTCCCATTTGGGAAATGCATGAGAAAGAGTTGGGATTTCCGTGGGATTTTGTCAGGTTTGACTTGACTTGGACACAAGGCACTCACATTGCCTGGACCTTGGGAGTTGTTGAGGGGTGCCCCCAAAGTGGGAAAGTGTTCAAAACATGTGCAAAACTGTATATAAGTTCAAGCAATCAACTGTTAAACAAAGACATATAGTATTTGTTTGTCTTAGTTTTGTCTGGAGGCAATCCCCAAAGTGGGAAAAGTTCAGGTTTTCGTGGGAAAAGGTCGCCTTCTCCAGTTGCGGTGAAAACAGATGTGAACCCTAACCATGTGGTTACATGCTAGATGTAGTAAGCAGGAATAATGCATGCCTACCGTATTTATACAGAGGTGAGGACTGCATGAAACAGTTTGTAGAAAAACTGACTGAAAGTAAGAAAAATATATTTGAAAACAAAAATTTTAATAAACCGATGGATGAATTAACGAACTAACAAAAATTAGAGTCTTTAAATTATCGTCTCATTGCTCCATTTGCGGTAAGAAATTTGAACCTGACGATGAAAAGGTTCGCGACCACTGCCACTTCACAGGCAAATACAGAGGCGCAGTGCATGTAAAATGCAATTTGGAAAATTCATTTAGGTATTTTAAGTTCCTATGTTTTTTCAATCTTAAAAATTACGACTCTCACTTAATCATAGCAAAAACAAATGAACTAAACTTTAGAACTAAACCAAAACAAAAGAATAGATCTATTAGCCCAAAACAGTGAAAAGTTCATAACCTTTTCATTTGGTGCTTGTCAGTTTAAAGACAGCTTCGCTTTCTCAACTGCGTCATTGGATAAGTTAGTTAGATTAAACAAATATGAATGAAATCAAAAGATTAAAGATTGCGCAACTCGTTTCAGCTATACAAGCACCAACCCATATATCAAATCTAAAACTGGTTTGAATTTGCTGACTGATAAGGGTGTATATGCCTATGACTACATGAACTCATGGGAGAAATTCGATGAAACAAAACTACCAAAGAAAGAATATTTTTACAGCAAATTATTTGCAGAAAACATAACTGACAAAGACTACACCAGAGCAAATGTTGTATGGAAACATTTTAACATTAAACACCTTGGTGAATATCATGATTTGCATTTGATGACTGATGTACATATACTGACTGATGTTTTTGAAAAAAATAGGGCATTAGACCCAGCATATTATATCACTTCACCTAACTATTCTTGGACTGCCTTTTTAATCATTGACAGGAGTTATACTACAACAAATACACATAAAAGAAATGTATGAGATGATTGAACATGGATTAAGAGGAGGAATGACACAGTGCTCCTTTAAGGAAGTAGAAGCAGACAATAAATACATGAAAGAAGATTATGATAAATCTAAACGTCCATCATACATAAGTTATTTAGACGCTAATAACCTTTACGGATTAGCAATGTGTAAGAAACTGCCATATGGTGATGTTAAATGGTATTACGGTGGAAAGGATGAAAAGAGAGTAATGAAATATAGTGGTGATGATGATGATGACGTAGGATACATATTAGACGTTGATTTAGATTATCCAGAAGAACTACATGATTTACATAAAGACTATCCATTAGCGCCTGAAATCATGAGTATCAATGAGAATATGCTTTCAAAAGTCCAAAAGGATATACGTAAATATTATTATGGAAAAGATGCCCAGTGATGAAAAAACAAATAAGTTAGTATTAAATGTAATGGATACAAAGTATGTTTTACACATATCAGCATCGAAATTCTATCTGCAACACGGATTGCGTCTTAAAAATGTCCATAGAGCAATAAGTTTTAAACAAGCACATTTCTTAGAACCATTCATTGAATTCAACACTGAAAAGAGAAAGAATGCCAACAATGACTTTGAAAAAAATGTTTACGTTAATGAATAATAGCGCATACGGCAAGACCATGGAGAATGTAAGAAAGCATGGTGATTTGAAATTGTCAATACGCCTGAACGCTTCCAACAACTGGTAAATAAACCGCTATTCAGACACAGACATATCATAAATGAAGACCTTGTAAGTATTGAAAAAGATAAACAAACCTATCTATATGGGTATGTCTATTTTAGACTTTTAAAAAATCACATGTATTCCTTCTATTATGATGTGTTAAAACCAAACTATGATGATAAAATCAAGTTGGTCTATACTGATACTGATAGTTATGTAATCAAGGTTGAGACTGATGACTTATATGAAGACTTTGAGGAGATACATGCATACATGGGTTTCAGTGATTATCCAGCAGAACATCCAAATCATGATAAATCAAACAACAAGGTATTAGGGAAATTCAAAGATGAAATGCACGGTAAAATAGTTACTCACTTTATAGGATTGAAACCAAAGGCATATTGTTATAAAGTGTATGGTGATGAGAAAGAACACAAGAAAAGCACAGGAGTAGTCAAGCACAAAGTGAGCAATCAGTTAAGTTACACAACTTATGAAGAGACATTGAACAGAAACTGTAAAGAATAACCATCAAATTTATTGCATGGATCAGACTAAATATGCTTTAAGCAACTGCGACATAAACGCTACTGGCATTCAGATTTTGAAAGCCTCCCATTTGGACATTATGCCATAACATATCTACATAACGAAAAGATGATTAAAATATATGGATATAAATTCAACAACTGAAAAGCTATGTCAAAGAATGACAAGACATAGAAGAGATTATATATCTTATCTAAACAATAGAAATCCCCCAAAACACTATCCTAACTCTATGAAATCGTTTGATGACTTCGGTGTTGAGAACTGTAAAATGGTTCTTATTGAAGAATGCCCACGCCAAAACAGAAAGCAACTCGAAAAGAGAGACGGTGAATATATTGAAAATGAAAAGAGCCGCCTTAACAGATGTATTGTTGGTCGGACCAAAAGTTATTTGATTGTTCCCATTTGATGAATTTTTCAAAGTTATTTGAATACTCTTGACTACACTTTATGAAATGTCCGGCTCACGCGTATGGCCCGGTGCACTCGCATGTGTGCTTTTGGCAAGTGTGGTTGCATGCTTTTTGACAACAGCCCCAATGCATTCAGTGAAGCTACGTGGTCTATCTACTCGTGTTGACGCGGGCGAAAAAAAAGGGGTTTTGGGCAGCCGTGCAGAAAGCGGCCAGCAAGAACAAGACTGATGCCCAGACCTATGTTCAGAACATTACTGATCTTGCTGATCGTCACATGAGCTCAAGCAAAATTGTTGACAGAGATCCTGCGATGCAGGCTATGATGCAGTTGATGGAAACGACAGGACTGTCACTGGTCTTGGGTGGCAAGAATTTGGGCAAATCATTTCTCAAAGGCAAGGCAATCAATAGATGCAAAAAGAGGAAAGATAATAGGATCAACTTCGTTTCCGTCAACATGCGCGATGCCGATATGGTTGGCAAACCTTTGATGGCTGCACTTGACCTGCAACAGAAAAATCTGAGCTGGAGAAGCGGCGAAGGATGTCTTGGATGTTCTACTACAAGGAAAACAAAGAAACATTGAGACCTTCATTGACAAGACCATCAGGAGTGGTAGGATGCCCAGCCTCGTTGTGGACGAGGCGAATTTGGGGCTACCTGGACCAAGTGGAGATACGAATGCGGCGGCCAAGTCAGCTTTAGCGGCCATCGCAAAATGGACCAAGGAGACGAAGGAAGCCAGCGTTGTGCTGATATCTTCAGAGTTTGGCTATCCGTTTCGTCTGCTAGCAAGCGACTTAGCCTTGAGCACCATCAGCAAAGTCATTGTCATTGGAGAAGTACCAGAGGTTAACATGCTAAAGATGCTGAAAGATGATTGGGGCATGGACGAAGACCTGGCAAAGATCTTCTACAACTACTTCGGCGAAGACATTTACACCACCAAGCAGGCTTTGGAGAGCCTCATTTGGAGAAAGAGGACTTCGACCCCTTTGCGGTTGTGCGATGTCCCGGGCTGCCTTCGTGTGTGAAAAATGCAGCGGCGAGGGCTCACCTGGAGAACATCGCCAAGCAAGGCTTCTCTTGGGTGAAGAATGTGAAGACAGACGGAGGTGCAAGAACGATTGCGGAGGAGAACGTGGGCGGGGTCATCGACAAGGATGCCATCACATTTGGTTTGCCACCCATCTTCACCGGCACAGACAAGGAATGGGCTGTCATCGCATCGTCCTATCACATGAAGCTGCTGATTGCCCGTAAGCTCCAACAAATTCTTTTGCCAACATCAGGACGGTGTTTCAGAAACAGGTTCTCTTTCGTGTTTGGTTCTGTTTTGCACACGCTGTTCGAAAGAGGAGGTGGATGGAAGTTGAATAAACTTGTTGATATATATATATATATGGACAATCACGAAGTTGATAGATAAAGTAATGCAAGCAGCCATACCTCCTCCCTGCAAGGTGGTACTGGGACTGCGCCACCAGCTGTTTGGGTGAGACAAATCCGCAAGGACTGCAGAGAAGTGCATTCAATGACTGTGTAAAAACATTTTGTTTCAGCAAAGTCGTTGCTCTGACCAAAGCAGTGCACTGATGACTTTCAGACAGTTCGGTTGAAGATCATTTTCGCCGTTCGTTCAGGTTCATGCTTTTTTCCCGCAAAACAAAGCGTGATGAAGGGTAAGTCCACTGTGCAAGACAATACACTGTTATGCTACGAACTTGGCAGGGTTCAGGACTTTTAGGGAGAAGATTGCAGGGCCGTTCATTCCTCAGGATTTATTAAATATGTACTCTAATAATTTTCCTCAATTTGATAAAGAGGATTTAGACTAAAGACTTTGTATGATTTTCTGCCATGCTCTTGTTCCTTTGCTGTGCCCTTTGGTAAGTAAATGCGAGTAGCACACGGTTGGAAAGGGTTGAGTTTGAATGTCTCGGCTGTTGACCTACGACAATGGCGGCTTCGAGTTGGTCGGCAATGCCTTCAAAATCACTGGAGCGGTTGGTGACATAGACGATTTGAAGAAGGTGCAGACCTCAAACGGAATTTCATTCATCTTGTTTTGGAACAGCTTTGAAATGGGCAATAACAAAGATTAAGCAGAGCGACCATCTTTGCAACACGTGCTGTGAGTTCATCCTTTGCGTTCATGTCCAATACAGTGCCTTAGTTGATGCTGAGTAGAAGACAAAGCAGACAGTGATAAAAGCCAGAACATGTTTTCTTGAAAGCAAAAGTGTATGGGTGGTATTGTCATTCGGCTCTCAGGCGATCAAGACCGAAAATGCAGCCACAGTCCAATGTGACGCCTTCCAAATCGATATATTTAGCCAACAGGAGGAGTCGTTGTTTGTGCCACCATTTGCTAGTTGCAGCAGCTTCAATGACCTACCAGTTCGTGTTTAGTCAGCTCTTTTTAGTTTGAATGCCTTCTCCGCAGGATGACAACTGGAGCAAAGAAGACGAAGAAGCTTCCATTAAACGCGGTGTCTCCAAGTCCTCCTCTGAGTATATACATGTTAATACTCTGAATATACTTGTTACAAATGCCTTGTTGAAGTGCAGGGGTCAACCAACCATTCAGGTTGGACTGCTATGGATACCTCATTCCATAGAGGCTGGCTTGTTTGTGAGCAACGTGTGCGCTTTGTGGGAAGGTTTTTCTTTCTTAGTGGTGCTTCTTGAAACATTTTTGCTTTGCGCGGCTCTTTCTGACCGACTGTGAGGATTGGACGGTGTCATTCCATGTATCAGATTGGGACTTTCTTTTGCTCTGTGAATGTGCCCTTCTCCATTGTGAGATGCGTAATATGTTTTGTTGTGGCAAGCTTTGCACTTTGGTTTTGTGATTGTTTGATTTTACGTCCTATTCCTTAAAGGGTATGATGATATAAAGATACAAAGGCGGCATATTAAACTGGGAAAAGATGAGTTGAAGAGGCATCTTGCCACAAACGATCGGTGAGCGGTTGGTACAGAAGCCACAGAGCTGTTCAGCACGGAGTTTCACCCAAACGTGGCAAATAAACACGGAAAATGGAGTGGCAAAAACTCATGGAAGTGGTGATTGGTTTGACGGATGGCTTTGTGCACGCAAGCGCCGTTGTCGTTTTGACTTTTTGCCAGTGTGAAATGACAAGAGGGAAAATAGTTTTAGATTGAAAATCGAAGGAACCGACACCCTCCGAATGAAACACCAAAAACGCTCGTCTCGTCGTGCGCCTTCGACCTCAGGTGGGAAACCTTGGGATTGCCTCAGCAGCCCAAGGGGATTTGCAGACCAGTCGGATCTGCCTCCAGTGCCCACTGGACGAAATGTGCTACACAAACACGAAGAGAAATGACCAGTCGGATGTGCTGAAGATGACCGGTGCTACTCAGGGTGGAAAGCGGAATGGAGCATGTCCCATATTCCTGACCCAGCGCGGATTGAAGGGGTTCGAAAGTCGGAACTGCCATTCCAATTAATTACATCTAATTACCGTATATGGTTTTTTGACATTTTTAGACTACAGGACCATTGGTCGAACGTCAGCCATGTATTTTCAGTGCTTTTGGAAGGCTACGTAGGTTGCTTTGGATCGGCTTCACACCGAGATGCCCTCCCGCTCCCGCTCCAGAGCGAGACACGGCTGTGGACGCTTCACGTGGCCATGGCAGGTACCACTTGAGCTCCGCGCAACGTGGGTCCAAGTCCATGGCTGCTGACAACAAGTGCGCCCGATGTCGCAACGGAGTCGTCCGATGTCGCAACGTGGTCAAGTGGAAGATCACGAGAACCCCAAGTCATAGGTGGTCAAGGTGGCCATTGGATGCCAATTCCTAGAGCCTTGGGGGTAACAAAATCGTCGTTCCATGTCGTCGAGGTGGGTCATCAAAGGGATGAGACTGGCCATAGATCAGCTGGGTTTTCTTAGCCCATCAGCAGTAGTGAAGAGATCGCGCAAAACCACATCTCTCAAACCATGCAGTGGCAGATGGATGACATCGGTTTGTTTTCGGCAAAAGCATCGGGACCTGCAGTTCTTGACCTGCCCGATGCCAAGCAGAGACCACCCACATGTAAAGGGTGTGAATCTCCTCTACAACGGTTGGGAGGAAACATGTTGGAAAGCGGTGAAACGACTTGGAACCAACAGACGCCGAAGAACCTTATAGACTACCCGTAGGTACCCCAGAGTGGTCCTATAAGGTCACTTAACCTCTCTTGGAAAGCAGTGAATCCCATTCCTGACGACCGTATACCCTGCAGGTTTGCTCAGAATACCCTCAAAGAGGTGAGCAAGAATGCCTATCATCGGCTGGGCCAGGCGCCTTCCGACATGTGATCCCGGGCGATAGGTCTGAAGAGGGCATAAGACGATCGGTGTACCATTGAATCTAGCATGATCCACCTATCACTGTATGCAATGGACCTCAAGTCGTTTGTGTAATGTTTGATGCTGATTAGTATTAGGGTCCTCTATAATGCTAATTTTTTGGAAAATTATTATGGATACCCTGTTTGTTTTAAGGGTCCTCTATGATGCTATATACTTGTTTTGGGATCCTAATTTGTTATAATCTGAAAAATGAGAGTTTCAAATCCTGCGGAGATCTGTAAATACTACTAAGCCAATAGCTGGCTTGCTGAGAGTATGATTGGTAATCATAGGTTTCTTTGTTTCTTCAAAACTCACAGCTTCCCAAAAGCCTTCAATTCCATAATCAAACCTTTATATAAAGATTGTTAACAAATTTTGGAGGTAGGAGACCAGGAAGGCCTCTGATCCTCAATAGTAAATTTGTTTTAAGGGTTCTCAATTTGTGCAAAGTTTTTTCCTCAGAAAAATAGATCTTAATACTACTAAGCCAATTCCTTAAGCAATTCTTTAGAGAAAGGGCTGCTGAGAATATCTAACTACAAAGAACCTGAGAAAGGAACATGACTACTACAATCAAATTACAAAAGGAATCCTCCCAGGAACCCAGACTTGTTTTGGTGGTAGTTTATTATAGAGGTCCCCTTTGTTTGGTGGTGGGCCCTTTACTAATCAAGATCCAACATTATCGATGTCTCACCTGACGTTTGAGCATGTTTGATCGATCCAGGACTTTCCCAAACAACATCTGTTTATCGCTTCGAGGCTTCAACAGGTGAACACACCGATGTTTCGTTGCCGGTCTGACCGTTGCGACGCGTGCATCCATCGGTCGTGGCCGCCGTGTACCAGGTACCGTTTTTGGGGGTGTTGATGTCGTTGAAATGACAAGAAACACCAAAAAAGAGACCCACAAAACCTGTCGTTAGTGCACTCCCAATAGGTATTGACCATGTGCACCGTGTACAAAGAACGGAACCTGTGGTGTGTTTGCTGTTGAAATGTTTGTTTTGTTGAAATGTTCTTATGGCAGTTCCAGTTCCAATTCTTGACCCAAGTAAAAAGACATAAAAAGACAATATGACATCACATTACAATATGACGTACTATGACTATGACCATGGTGTCAAATCCAAATCCATATCATACAAATCCAAATCCATTCCAATTCATACAGAACAATACATCCTCTCTCATCGCATGGTGAGTGGTACGGTTTACATCGGACCTCACTGGGACGGTCACCACCGAGCGAATCGCGTTCGGTCGTAACCGCCAGGTCAATGCCACGGACGGCCGCTTCGACGAGGCGGCCGACCACTTCGCGAAGGCGATGGAGGCGAGTCTGGGACGAAGCGCCGAACAGAGACGAGCGGGTCGGAGTACGGAGTATGTGAGGTCGATGTTGGAGTAGTACGGGGGTGGTCCGAACAAGGGGTCGCCACCGCGGTCAATGAAGATGTTGTTCGGGATGGTGATGCAACGGTTCTCAACCTCAAGCCACTTAGATCCTGACAGCTTGGGTTCACGAAGTTGTATTCAATACCGCTTGCTGTCCCTCACATGTCCCTTCTCTAGCTCACCAAAGCCTCCCCCCCTTCTCCAGCCAGCATTGTAAGCACGCCGGTCTTACCCGGGCGAACTCGAAACGCGACCGATTCTGAGAGGTCGCCAAGTCCGCCAATCAGCAGAAGGACGAGGAAGTTTCACTGGCCATGCTGGGGATTGCCGCCCGGAGGGCAGTGGATTCTCCGCCCGGGGTTGGTTGGAGGGCTGGCCTTGGTGGGGGCGAAGGTAAACCGACCAACATAGGGACCATGCTAAATCACGCGCTGTGACCTGCTTGCTCTTTCTTCGTTAAATCCATACCGCGCGAATCATGATTTCTTTTGGGTTCTTCAAATCAGAACGTGTCGGAAAGTCAAAAAAAAAGCAATTGGCCCAGCTCCGATTTGTTGTGTTACTTTTTTGTTTTCCTAATGTTGACGTGTTTGACATGTTTTTAAGACTGTGTGTTGATTTGTTTTTCGTTTGTGTTTTTTGTCCTTAATTTTGAGTTTTTTTTTTGACATGGTTTTAACTTGTTTGACACGTGTTCAAATTTGACTTGTTTTTTTGACTGCCTTTTTTTTTCCGATGTGTTTTCCGAATTGTTTGGTACTTTCTTTTGTTCGATGTTTTTGTTGCCTTGTTTATTTTACCTTTTTTGACTTTGACGTTTCCATCTGACTTTGTTTGACTTTTTGTAAATCAAAGATTCTGGCCTTACCATATTATGAAATATGATGAAAGAGTTTTTGAACCTGATTGATTACTGATCCGTCGGGCACATCGTTCCAAACCGCTCGACCGACCGACGACCGATCCGTGATTCGAAAACGGGATCCACGGTGGCGAGTGAAGGATGGTCAAAGCTGTCCATGCAAAACAACATATACAAGGACTTCCATCCTTCCATCAGGGTTCCTTCTAGATCCCCCTTTATGATCAGATTGTTGAGGGAACCAGTTCGTCACTCTACGTCACTCGCTGAAAAGTACCGGACTCGTTCTCACTCGTTCTGTTTGGTTGGTTCTTGTTTGCGGTTGCTGAAGAGCCCGACATTGTCGACTGGAGTTGCCGAGGCCCGTGGCATGTTGAGCTTTGATGAGCACTGTGCAGTGCCTGGGTAGCAAGTGTTTAACCGATGGGCTTGCAGACCTGGGATGCCTTCGATCTACAGGAACTTCGATCGACAGTTTGGTCATTTTCTACATGATATAGATTCATGGCACTGTGTACTTGTAGTTTTTTGAATGGTGTAGGCCCTGTTGTTGCTCATCACCGGCAGGTCATATAGACTTAGACTTCGACTTCGGTCATCAAACCGCACACCGATTCCTCACATAGACTCGGTGCTTCAGGATATGTTTGATTCCAGTGACCCGGGTTGGCTCCTTTATTTTGCTTTCATGAATTCAGCTTTAGTGTGTTAGTTTTATGTTGAAGTTGATGGGAAATTGATTTATGACCGGAACCCAACAAACCCACAACCAAGGCCTTAGTCAGACATGCTGAGGAGGCACGTTCGTGTTGCCGTCGCTGGAGATTGCGCCCATGTGACACACGTGGACGCATGCCGGGTGTGTTTGAGAGATCCGTAAACGCCTCACACTTGCGATGCACCAAAGTGTTTCTAACACGCTCCATCGGGGAATACAATATCTATATACGCTATATGACCTTCGCCCCGAATTTAAGGATGAACAACCCGCTATTTTGAATTCCGCAGCCTCTCGGCTCAGCGGATGGTTCATGAGTTCGAGAGCTGCACCTGTGCGCTGTGCTTGACTGTGCGGCGCGTGGTGCATCTCCTCTACGACCCCGAGTGCAGCGGAGCCGTACAGAGGAGAGGGCTTTCACTTTTGAGGGAGGTTCATTCACAGCTGCTGGACGCTGTGGAGACAGGAGCTGCCACTCCTGGTCCTCCCGTGGGCAGTTCGCCTGTTCTCCCGGTTGGGGGAGAGAATCCAGCTCAACCTCGCGTGAAGACCGAGCCGGTCAGCTCCCAGGACAAGGCCCAGGCAGAGGAAGGGTTTGCACCCGTAGTTGAGGCTCCCGGCCAGGAGGGGAGCGGAACAGAGGCTGGCAAGAAAGAGGAGGACCAGTCGGAGCGTGCATCCCGTGAGGCTGACTTGAAGGACACCGAGGAGGACAAAGAGATCGCAAAGGATAGAACTTCAACTCCGAACCCTGAGAAAAAGGACAAAGGCAGTCGCCAGAAGGAATCAAAGTCGAGAGACCGTCGCCGCCGAGACCGAAGAGAGAAGAGGGCAAGATCTTCAGAGGGAGCAGGCCGTCGCTCCCGTAGCCGTCGTCGTCGAGATCGAGGAAAATCGAGCAAGCCCGAGAGCCCTAGGCACGACGAAAGCAAAGAGCCCTCGCCCCCAAAGGAGTCCGGAAAAGAGTGGACGAGCCCAAGGCCAAGGTCCCGGACCCCCAGTCGGAGTCTCGTCCGCCGAACCCCCCGACATCCGGTGCCATCCAGTGCCTCAGGCCTTACCAACGCTCAGAAGAGAGCAGTGCCACCCCCACCAAAACCGCCTCCAGTTCGACCGTCTCCACGTGAGCCAGACCATCCACCCCCGGGCTACTCGAGCTGGGCAGCCACTGACGCTCGAGCCAAGTCCAAGGGTAACAAGGGCCACTACCGAGATCCCTACAGAGATCCTCCACCCAACAAGGGGAAGAAGAAGGACGAGCGGAACGCCAATTTCCGCGCCTGGCGAGAGTTCGAGCGGGGATACTGGTAGAGGACATGCCGCCACGGAGGAGGCCTGCAGTGGGCCCGGGAGGATTCGAAGAGGAGTGTTGAGACGCCCTGCACGGGGGGAGGCGGAGGAGCCTCCCGGTCGGGAGGAGCCGGTCTGGGAAGCCCTGAACAAGATCGCTTTGGACACCCTTCACAAAAGGCAGAAGGTCGTCATCGAGGGCATGTTTTGGGAAGCCCCGGTCATGATCGCAGGCGAGGTTCGTGGGGTGGTTGTGAACGAGGGCGACACCACATGGAGGATTTGGGTCACAGGAACCCAGCAAGAGTCCCTGTTGAAAGAGCTCGGAGGCCAATGTCAGGAGATGCGGGTGCACATCTGCTCAGACCCATGCGATCGTCTAGTGTGGGCGAGGGATTTGATCCACGGCCACCGCTACCACGTTCCAGGAGGGGAGGCCGAGGGCTGGCACAGCAACCTGGCCGAAGTCTCCCGAGAGAGAGCAGTTGGCGGAGGAGGAGACGACCCTCTTCATCGACTACGACAAGAGATGGGAGAAAGGACAAAAGGGGGAGAGATTCAATACTCTCCCGAGCACGCAGGAGCTCCCGAAGGGAAAAGGGAGGTCGAAGAGGAGAGGCCGCAGAAGAAGGGAAAGAAGCGCAAGACAAAGGTGCGAGTGCAGTTGGAAGCCGGCATCAAGGAGGTCTTCAAGCACACAGCTCTGGATCCAGACATCGAGGTCAGGAGAGAGCTCATGAAGAAAGCTCGAAAGATCCGAAAGGGAAAGAAAAAGAAGAAAAAATCCTCCCGGTCCAGGAGCAAGGGAACGTCGGGGGAGGTTTCAGGAGATTCGAGCGAGTCCACCAGCCTGGCCGAGAAGCACATTGCAGGGTCAGAGCTCTTCGAGAGCGAGAGGAGATCATTGCAGATCTGGCGTCGTGTCCCTGGAGCGTTGTTGAATGCCACGATCTTGGACATGCAAGAACAGATGATCACGGCACATGGCTACACCAATCGCCCAGTCGAAGAGGGAGCGGTGGCTCCCGTGGCGACCCAGTATTTTCGGTCGCATTTGCAGCAGCAGATGGGAGCAGCCCTAGCAAGGGAATCACTACATCTCGCTACAATCATCGACCTGAGCCTGCGCGGACGCATTGCATCAGCGCTGGATGTGGCCGGGCAAAGACTAAAAGCCCTCGAGGCCATGTCACGTGGAACCACCATCGAGATCGCCAGGAGGCTGGAGCTGGTGGGGCCAGAGCGCCCAAGCTTGGTGAGCGTGCCCGAAGCAGGAGCTGCAGGCCGAGAGTTGCAGGTCGAGGATCGTGTTATGAGACGCAACACGAACAGGTGGCCTTGGGAAGACAGGGATTCCTACAAAGGTGGCAAAGGAAGAGACAAAGGGAAGCGAGACAAAGGAAAAGGCGATGGCAAGAGCAAGGACAAGGGGCATCGAAAAGGAGACGGCAAGAAGAAGGACGACAAGGGCGACAAGGAGTGAAGAGTGACCTTGGTGAGGAGAAGTCAGCAGGGAGAGAGGGAGGGAGCCGCACTACTGATGGCGCTCTCCCGGTGGAGAATGACAGAGCATTGGGCCAATATGGAGAGCTGGTTGAGCGAAACACGTTTCACGGGGGCGAGACGCCCCAACTCGGTCGTGCAGCGTTGGCAGACGTGGCAAGATCTACGACACCACCACTAGTTTCTGATCCCGATCTGAATTCAGTATTGAACTCCCATGCTGAGGGAGTAGCGACAGGCAGTGATCCAGGCTTGGGTCGGGTTGCAGCTTCGTCACATGTGCCGGCCCAAGGGGCAGGAGACCACGGCACTACAGCCGATGTTGAAGAGTGCTCCCGAAGGGATCAGGGGAGCAGGAGCGAGTTGAAGAAGGCTGTACAGAACAAGGTTTCACCTAGCAGCTTCAGGCAAGTCATGTCCTTGGCCAGGACCAAACTTCATGAGATCGGAACTGAGCGCATGCAGCACATGGTAGAGGACCCCAAACCTAAGTCCGAGGATTTTTTCCCACTTCCTCTACCCCTGGAGCCAGGGACGAAATGTGAGACAGCATCAGCAGATTTGGTGTTTGGTCTTAACATGCTTGCCTGCGGCAAAGGAGAAGGACCACCGCCCAAGAGAGAACCTCGGGGGATCGTGGAAAACTTGGGGAAGCTCTGCGATCGTTTCAAGGTCTGGGAGGAAGTTTTGGAGCCCCTCAACTTTAAGGACTTCTTTGCAAAAAGGGGGGTGACTTACGATGGTGAGGAAGTTCGTGTGGCTCAGACACTGACTTGGGATGCGGTGAAGATGTCACTCCCTGATGAAGTAGGCTGTCTGGAATTGAGGGACTTTTGTACTCAGGGCACCCTTCACTACCTGGACCACTTTGAGGATCACCTGATTGACACCAGCAATCTTTCATGTCCCCGAGCCCCCAGGGTCATGGTGGGGGACGACTGGCCAGCCATTTGTGAGGGCCTCATCGCCAAGAAGATTTGCGAAGTCATGCCCACCGACCAGCTGTTCCACATCGACCAGGTGCCACTTCTGAACGGGATGTTTGGAGTTGGTAAGGGAGAATTTATTGGGAACATTGAGACACAGAGGTTAATTATGAATCTGGTGCCACTTAACCGCTTGTGTGACCCGTTGGTGGGAGACGTCATGACTCTCCCGAACATCAGTAGTTTTGGGTCATTTTTGTTGGAAGATGGGGAGATGGCCCTGATCAGTTCAGAAGATGTGCGCTGTTTCTTTTATCTGTTCAGGGTTCCGAGTTCGTGGAAACGCTTCCTTGGATTCAACCGTCTCGTCCCCCCATCCCTGGTTCCTGATGCGTGGCGTGGACGCCCCTGCGTGCTTACTGCGTGTGTGTTGCCAATGGGATTCCTCAACAGCGTGTCCATTGCACAGCACGTACACCGGAACATTGTCACCTGGAGCCAGCAAGACAGCAAAACATTGGGGGGAGCTTGCGAAATGCGCAAAGACAGGGTTAGCAGCACAGCCAAGCACCAGTATAGGGTTTACTTGGACAACTTTGATTTGGTAGAGCGCTTTGATCCAGCTACAGCCAAAGCAGTTGGGGGTTGCGTAGCCCAAGCGGTGCAAGACCTGAGAGAGCAGTACGCCTCACAGGGCATCCCACGTCACCCGAAGAAGGCCGTGGAACGAGCTCCGGTTGCGGAGATTCAAGGGGCCATTCTGGATGGTGTTGAAGGGTTTGCCCAACCCAAGGCGGGTAAGGTCACATTGTATTGCAGGTTGGCCGTGATGCTGGTAGAGAGAGGCAGCTGTACTCTAAAGGAACTTCAAGTCGTGTGTGGGGGTTTCGTGTACTTCACCATGTTCCGGAGGCCTTTATTGGGTATTCTGAATGAGGTATGGAGGTTCATGGAGAAACTGAAGCACCTGCCGCCTGTTGTCCGGCTCCCGGTACCCGTGGGAGTCCAGAGAGAGTTGATGATCTTCACTTTGTTGACCCCTCTGGCACAGATTGACTTCCGGTGTCCTTTCATGGACCACGTGACGTGCAGTGATGCATCCACGTCCGGCGGAGGAGTGTGTGTGAGCGAAGGCTTGACTGGTTATGGCATGACGGCTTTGAACACGGAGAGTCGTGGTGATCTCCCGCTTGAGGGGGAGGTTCTGCAAGTGTTGACTGTGGGACTGTTTGATGGTTTGGGGGCGTTGAGACTGGCAGTCGATAGCCTGGGAGTTGGAGTGGCCGGCCACCTGAGCGTTGAGAAGGAGCCAACAGGTCGTCGCGTCGTTGAAGCTTTCTTCCCAGATACCATATTTCATGATGACGTCACGACAGTGGACGACAAGATGGTCAAAGGCTTGGCAATGCGTTTCCCATCCGTGTCTCTCATCCTGATAGGTGCGGGACCGCCTTGTCAAGGCGTGAGCGGGCTCAACGCCTCAAAGAAGGGAGCCTTGCGAGATGCTCGTAGCAGCCTCTTCCAGGAAGTCCCCCGTATCAAGGAGCTCTTCAAGATCCACTTTCCCTGGGCCCAGGTGAGATTGTTGATGGAATCAGTCGCCTCTATGGGAGAGGAAGATCGCCGCATTATGAGCGCCGCAGTGGGGTTGCAACCATACAAGATTGACTCTGGCAGCATTAGTCTGTGTCATCGTCCTCGCCTATACTGGGTGGATTGGGACTTGTCAGAGGGAGAGGGCGTCACCGTTACCCCTCCCGTGGTGGTGGATTCGGAGTGGACCGGTTGTGGGTTGGTTGAACTGAAGGCCCAGGTGGAGGAGCAGGCCTTCTTGGAGCAGGGATGGTTTGTCACGGAGGGCTACCGTCTGCCAACCTTTACAACCTCGCGTCCGCGTGAGGAGCCGGGGTTCCGGCCAGCTGGGCTGGGACGGTGTGCGCCACATGAGCGACAACGGTGGGTAGATGATGGCTATCGCTTTCCCCCGTACCAGTATCGGGATCACAATCTCCTTTGGACCCGGAAAGGTGCAGCACGGAGAGCGAATGTCCAAGAGAGGGAGGCCATCATGTGCATACCGGTTGGATATACTCGACCTTGCCTCCCGAAGAACCAACAGACTGGAACCCTATGGGAAGACACTCGACTGTCGTTGATAGGCAACTCCTGGCATGTGGGAGTGATCACTTGGCTCTTGGAACAACTCCTTGGACCCCTTGGTTTCTGTCGACGGCACAACCTCCAGCAGATCGTGGATCGCTTGACACCAGGCCGCAGTGGCACGTTACAAGGTATTCTGCTTCGCCCGCCCTTGTCCTCGAACAAGACGCTTGTGGAGTCGCATGAGAAACCGCTGTTGTTGAAGTTGCTTGGGCTGGTGTCCATGAAAGGTGAAGATCTCATGGTCACGGCTGTCAGTGAGCCCCAGGTCAAGTTCCACAGATTGCGTTCGAGCGTGCCCGCAAAGTTGTGGAGGTGGCGTGAGGTCACCAGTTGGCATTGGCGACATTCAGGGGAACATATCAACGTGCTTGAACTACGGGCTATCCTTACTACATTGAGGTGGTTGGTGGTCCGTCGAGGTGGACACAGCAAACGTTTCCTACATTTGACGGACAGTCTGGTGTGCTTGCATAGTTTGTCGCGTGGTCGGAGCTCGTCTAGAAAGTTGAGACATGTGCTGATGCGGATCAACCCGCTCATCCTTGCTGCGGACCTCCACCCCATCTGGGGATACGTGCATACCGCTCAAAACCCCGCCGACCGGCCGAGCCGGCGGCCGCTACAGCGAAAATGGGGAAAGTAAAGCAGCACTTGGAGGGCCATAGCAAGGAAGAACGAGCGAAAAACAGACGAGCATTGGGAAGCCTGCGTGAACTCACAGTACAACCCCAGACCAGGAAACGATACAGCCTCGCAAAGCAAAAGTTCTATGACTACGCTCACACCAACGGCCTGAGTATTCCCACCAAGTTTTCGGCTTTCGATGATATGCTGGCCGACTACGTTGAACACTTATGGAGTGAGGGAGAGGGGCGTGCCTTGGCAAGTGACACGGTCGCGGGTTTTCAAGACACAGAACCACGCTTGAAAGGGCAACTTCAGGTCACATGGAGGCTCCTGAAGACGTGGCACGTCAATGAAATACCCAGTCGTGCACCCCCGCTCCCGGAAGAGTGCCTTCAGGCAATGCTGGGCTGGTGCCTTTTCCATGAAGAGTACGCCTTCGGCTTGAGCCTGTTGTTAGGTTTTTACGGACTGCTGCGTACGGGGGAGATTCTTGGATTATGCAATCACCATATTTTGATGACATCTCCCGATAAACCTGCAGTAATTTCGTTGGGCCTGACAAAGTCAGGAAAGCGAGCTGGCGCTTCTGAGAGTGTTACCATTTCTGTGACAAGTGCCCTTCAGTGGCTTTGGGCATGGAAGAATGCATCCTCCTCGCGCTGCCCCCTTACCCCTGCACCACACCAATGGCGAAAGAAATTCTCTGAGTGTGTGAAGGCGTTGCATTTAGAGCAATTCGAGTTCCGCCCTTACAGCCTTCGTAGGGGTGGGGCGACCTGTTGGTTTGGGCGTCACGGATCCTTAGACAGGATCATAGTGTTGGGTAGGTGGGCCGCGGCTCGCACCGCCCGCATTTACATCAATGAAGGGCTAGCCATGGTGGCCTCTTTAAAAATTCCCCGGAAATCGTTGGTCCCTTTTCTCCGAACGTTTCACCAGCATGACTTGAACCTTTTGCCGAGAGCGCTTGAGCGTGCTAAAGCAGGAAAGGGGGAGGTGGAAGTGAGGTGTTTTTTTGCCAGTGCGGGGAGGAAATTAATTTCGTGTCTAGAGAAAGACTTTAAAGGT